CACGGATAAATGAAAACTTGCTGAACTTACATCTCACGCCACTTTGCATACATCTGAAAAGTTTCGTGGAAAATTAAAATTTTCCCGCTAGCTTGACTACCGCCACGAAATTTCAATTGGCCTGTCAGAAACGTGAGTCCCGGCACCTGGATTTTAATTAATGTGGCAAATCAAGATCGCAGATAGATCCTTTAGATAGATCCTTTAAATTGTCCTACTGTTAGGCGATGTATAAGCGTATTATATTATCCGTTATGAATTTCGTACAAGATTTATGAAAACATTCCCGAAATTAATTGCTATATTAAATCGCGTATGACAGATATTATCGCCCGTGGAAATGATTCACACTCTGTCATTAATTATACAATAATTTGACGGTTTCCATAATAACGGGGGAACGAAATAAAACGCAAGTTATTAAAATTCTCTTGGAATTCACTTGAACTTGTTAGATGGAAATTTAACGTTTTTCTCAGTTTCAATTTCTGTCAGTCTTTAAGATTATATAACAGTTATGAACGTGAAACTTCTTTTCAACTTCATTTCACTGAAGATTCCCAATTTAAATTTATTTTTATCACTGTTGATGTATGTTTACAGAACACCCTATGCATATCATATCCCTATTTCAGGGAACAAAATAAACAAAAAACTGTTATGAATATAAATCCGCCCCATGGTTTTATGAACACTTCCGCTTCGAATTTCGTTTATTGCAGAATCGTTGTTGGCTGTCAACAACGGGGCAACAACGGCCCTGTATTACATTCGCAAAATCCATTCGTAAACATATCTCATTCAATATGCGTGGAAAAACGCTTGTGTATTGGACGGGCACGAAATTTGGGAACATTCTTTTATGATTTTCATTATGTTAGAATTAAGTCCACAGATTTATTCTGATCCAGGATATATATATATATATATATATATATATAATATATAATAACATCGAAATCACCTAAAACAAGGAGTAGTTCAAAATATATATAATTAAAAATAAATTAACAAAATGACACATTATTGGTTTAACTAATTACACAGGAAACGAATCATTTGCCACAGTGAATTGTGTAATAATTTATATAATGATTTCGCTCCCTCACTTCAAAAATGACACAAACAAAGAACACAATTTTCGAGTTATTAATTATTATCATGAATAAATTAAGTAAATATTACTCTATCAATAAAAAAGTGAACTTATAATTTAACTTTATAAAAAATCATCACAATTAAAAAAAGGATAATTTAAAAAAATCGTCAAAATCGTCACAAAAAGAGTGGTTTAAAATAGTGACTATTGCAATTCAAAAGGAATAGCTTTTTCAAAAGGATGACTAGTTATGAAACAAAAATGACATTCTTTTGTCAATATTATTTTATTAGTAACAGAAATAATTTTTGTCAAGTTGAAAAATCATTTTTTCTCTTTTCTATAAGAAATAAATTTAATTTTTCAAATTGTATCACTTTTGAAGCAAGGGAGCGATTTCTTTTCTAAACGTTTCAAATAATTTTCAGAAACCAACATTTATCTGTTAAAACTAATATTTATCTATTATTTATAGGATCATTCGGAGGTATCGCGTGAAAAGAATAAAATATTTTTCGCAATAAGTTTATTACAATTTTTTAAGATTAAATTTGAGAATAAAATATGAATAAATATTGAATAAAATATTTTTCGCAATAAGTTTATTACAATTTTTTAAGACTAAATTTGAGAAATTTGGGAGGATTATTAATATTTCATATTGATTGCGTTGAAAATCCGACAACCATATCAGCACGCAATTATAATTTCTGAAATTAATTCATTTAAATGAATATATAATACATAAAATAGTTCAACATCTTAATATTCAGACCGTACTGGCGTTTCATATTTAAAATAAGAATAAATCTCTATTATATATTTGTGTAACACAAGAGCCAGCGTGATATATCGAGGCGAAACGACCGATTCGATCAATTTCGTAACAAACTGCGTAGAAGACTTGTTTCGTGTCATTGTTCCCGAGAGTTTTCCGAGATACGAACAACTTTGAGAAACACTGTTCCAAACGACGCCGTGTCCCGCTGCCCCAACTCACATAAAACGCTCCTCCCTCGTGGCAGCCCTTCTACGCAGCTTACGTAGGAGCCCTCGGCTACCCTCGGCGCCCTTGGTGGTACGTTAGGCTCGTAGGGACGCGTAGCGTGGGCTAAGGGCTCGCCGGCCGAGCGTACCGTAACACCGTAACGTTCATAACGTGAGGGTGAAGAACGGCAGGAGCGCCGAGCGCCGGTCGTGTTGCGGCTGCGACGAGTCGCACAGTCGAGCGTGAGACTCGGTCGGAGTCAGCTGTGGCGTGTCGTACTTTCTTCTCGTTTCTTTCGTAAGTTTATCTTGCCGATCGCGTCGTTGTGGAATCCTCGTAGGATTCGGAGAGAGGGATTTAGGTGGAAAATCGCGATCTTTCATCTTTTACCCAACCTCAGCCGCGCGTATTTCGCAGAAAATCGCGAGAAAAAAGCGCGCGAGGCAAGAGAGAGAAAGAAAGAGAGAGAGAGAGAAAGAGTTCGGCGAAGCCACCGATCGAGGGCATTCGAGGGAGTCCCGATTCCACGAGCGGCGCTCGCAGTTGCACGCGAGACGCCGTCGAGGTAGCTTCGTACTCGAGCGAGATAACGTTTCTACGAGAAGTCTTTACGTGTTTACGTGGAAACTGATTTAATCGTCCCGTCAGTTTGGCGATTATAACGTACGTTGCGAAGCGGCAAGACGCTCGGTTGACAGCGGCAATTTTAACCTATCCAGAGATACAGCGTCGGTAGGTGTACGGCTGTGTGTACGTGTATATATGTTATGTTTACGTTTTTGTGATTATATTCTTATTTCATTCTGCTTGGAGTTTATTTTATGGTGACGCGCCGTCCGAGTGTTGATTTCGCGATTGCTCGATAACGGTTGCGGTCCGATTAACGCTCACAACGTTCGTGAACATTATTTGTCTTTGTTTGATAAACAATAAGGATGAAATGATTCTTGAAGCATTGTGAGCACGAATTGAACCGTGGCCGTTTAAGTTGCCGAGAAAGACGCGAGAAAATTGCTTTTGTGCGTGCTAACGAATTCTCCATTTTGAAGTTCGACGTGGACGATCTTCCGTAAACTTTACTTGACTGACGGCCGATTGGCTGTAATGGAGTCCTTATATCCGTTTCTAGTGTTTCTCTTATAATGTAGATTAATCTTGGTTGAACTTACTTTTTATCTTCTTCTAGTTCTGAGAATTAGAAAAAGATACTTGTGTAAATTGACCCGAGATTAAAAATAGGCTTGGTGTCCTTTCTATTAATGTAGACTAACTGTAAACTCCAGTTAATTCGTTCCGTCATTTTCTACTTATTTTTTATCCTTTTCTAATTATCTACTTTTCATTTTCTTCTAATTCTAAGAATTAAAAAGAAATAAAGTATTAAGAACAAGATAGATTAAACTGTTAGAATTAGAAGATAAAAGAATTAGAAAATTAAATAGTCCACGGTTGGTAGAGAAATGATTGGCCCATTTCTAGCACCGTGGATTAATTTTAATTTCGGATTAATTTACTTCTTATCTTTTTTTAATTTTTAGAACTAGAAGATAAAAATTAAATTAAAAACCGAGATTGAAATTAATCTACGTTAATAAAAATATAGAGACACTAGATTAGAAATCCGGCTCGAGAATATTGATAGTCTCTATCTTTTCGATCTCTTTTTATTTCTGTTTCATTTTCGACGAGTCGATCTTCCCGATCAATATAAAATAAATAAATATTAAAACGAGGCCAATACGAGAAGTCGATCGGAAACGTGACTCGATGGTTGATCTTGAAAATAAACTCGGTGACGTATTTTGAAAAAAAAAAAAATATCGGATACACACGTCGCGGAATACATCAAACGTGCATAATTTTCGCAATCTGTTCGAAGAGTAACTGCCGAATAGATCGATTTGCGATTATCGGCTTGGCCTGTCACCAAATTCGCAATTCATATCCACGTGCGAGCGGTCGATTTCTAATCGTAAACTTTCGATTCGCACCAGTGAATATCACGGGGAATCAATCGGCCGAGTTAACCGCCTGAAATTCGCGTCGAGACTCGCTCGATTACGAAAATTCGCGAGGAACTTCTTCGGGCGCTAACTTCTCGTTAACTTCATTCGAAAATTGCAGACGAAACCCGGAGTTTTTCAATTCCTTTTCGGATTCGAACACTGGTAAACTTAATTTTCTCGACTCTCTTCCTTTGAAAAACAAAATCTACTTCCTTTTTATCAAGGCCGAGAAAGAGAGAGTTTAAGCGAAGAAATTCAGCGACGAATCAAAAAGTTGTTGAATCACCTTTCAAAAAAAAAAAAAAAAAAGAATCAATTAATAATTGTCGTCGGTTTCTGTGAATGAATTGTCTGTAAAAACAGTTTTAAAGCTTGTCGCGAACTCGGCACGGTAAAATAGTTGTTTCTTTCGCTAATTTGTAGCAAGATTAAAATTCAAATCGTAAAAATGTCGTAGCGAGCGGGAAAGTAAAAAAAACTGTAGAAAGGACGCGCGTCGCTGTGCTCCGCCGGTTGAAAGACACTGGCCGAAACGAAACGAAACGAAACGAAACGCGCGCGGACCGCAACGCACAAGGGGGAATGTCCTTTTTTTACTACGCACCGCGTCTGTGCCCTTGAACAGGCTAAGGAAGAGGGAACTCGGCCGGCAATATATACGTGCGTTTATATACACATATACATATATATATATATATACACAGGACGATTCACCGTTCGTGGCGACTTCGTGGAAGCAGTGACGCAACTGTCGCTCCAGTCCGGAGTCCGGAGAACTGAGAAGAAGGAAAAGGCCGCGATGACGGTGTAAACGAGTAACGGCGCGGTTTCAAGTCAAGCTTCACCTTGCCAACTTCACCTCGCTTCTCATCCTTTTCGCGCGCTCCCCCCCCCCCCCCCCCCCCCCCCCCCTTACCGACGCGTGTGCGCGCGCGATATCGCGAGCGAACTCGTAATACGTACGTTACGATGGTGTGCGTGAGATCGCGCGTGCGGATCGTTCGCGAACTCAACGGCAGCCTGTAGCTCGTCTCCGGGAAGCTGGTGGTGGTACTCACGCGGCGTACGAGTGAAGAAGCCGGAAGAAAGAGATCTGTTTTCTTGAATCTATCTGAACTGACGATGCGGTCCTTTGGGAAGTCGTGGCGATGGACCATCAGTGAAATGGGTGAGTACGGAAAGCATTATCGTACAAAGACGACGTTCCTCGGAATGTTGGGTTTGGGTCGCGTCGCCACCATTTTTCGAAATGAATTTCGCATTGGAACGAACTACTGCCGGCTAGAAAACTTTGCATAGAAAACTTTGTTGTCGAGATTTAGTGTAACGGTAACATTTTTGCCGTTGAATTCTGCGCGTTTTGTGAATAAGTCTTGGAAACGTTTTAAATATGTTTGTATGTGAAAAGAATTTTGCAGAAGTATGAATTGAAAAGCTCAACTAGGTACAGATAGATTTGAAAATAATTTTGTGAGACTGTCTAAATACAATGATAATTATATGTAGGAAACTCGACATTTGCCGCGCAATGCTACAAATATTTTAGATATTCTAGCAACCAGCTTATTCTATAATCTATAATATAATTATTTTGATAGTTGAACAAAATTATTTTCACAGATCTGTATCTGTAGTTAAATTTTTATTTCGGTAAAATCATTTCTTTCCTTATATATGTATACATATTATTGTAAGATGAATTGATGTGTATGTAATTGAGACATAAGTCTAATTAGAAAAATTAAAGAACATATTTATATTATAACATATAATTAATTTAAGAATGTAACGTTTACTTGAAGAGAGATATTTATGATTTATTTCATTTGTGATTTGAATTACATTTCTCAGTATAAAGTTTAAATTAATATTTAGGATCTACTTGAATATTTTTCAAAAAGCTTAGGATCTATGATCAGTCCGATTTATATTGCTTATGAATACATAATAGCTATATATTTATATACATATGCATCTGCACACCTGCTTTGCAGACGTACGTCATAAATAATAAACAGGCGGATATACAGGTGTAAGTATGTACGATTTGAAAAGCAACGAATATTCTATTTGTCGTTACAAACTCCACTGTATGACAAAGAAGTAAGAACTGTATAAATGTATGTTTGCAAGTAAATTTGTAATTTATTTATGCATTATTAACTCACTTAGAGTGTTAAGAATTCCGCCGCGGAAAAAGTAGAATTCTGGAATTCATACGTCCTCCGTATTTTACGCATTCACAAGACTGATATTTAACTAAAAATCAACGAGAATGCACGAGTACTTAATTCAGAAAGAGAAACGCGTATCTCTCTCTCTCTCTCTCTTTAAAAGCGAATTGACGATAAGAGAGAAGTGTGCGCCTTCGTATAAGAAAAATGGCACGTGTACAACGTGTACAATTCACATGTGATTAAATGGAAACCCGGGATCCGCTGTCTGTCCACGTTGATAAATCGCATTTTCGGAATGAGAGCGGATCTCAAAAAGATGCTCCAAGACCGCAGAGCATTTCGCGATCGATGCACGCGGAGGACAATAAATAATACAATAGAAGAGCAACATGATATCCGGAAAATTGATTTTTTTTTTTTTGAGTTGTCCGGACAAAATGATAAAGCTGGAAATAATACTCTTTTCCTCGTACTCTTTTCCTGTCTTCCGTCTCTTTAAGTAACACTCTCCGTACAGAATTTTTCAGCGACTTACTCTCTTCGCGACGTTTCATTAATAAGATAAAATGGAGCGTCACGTAGATTCTTAAACGTTCCTTGTACCTCCTCGTGCACTGCTGAATTCCCTGCGTTGCGGAGACAGGGCGGTATCAAGATAGATAATTTCAACAAATGGATTTCGCACGACGTCACTTTAATGACATGCTTCCGTTAATAATTTCGTTGCGGAAACATTTTCGCTTCCCCACGTACGGCGGAGATGATAAACACATTTAATTTCGATCCCGGCGAAACTAGATGTTTCTGACAGACATGCCGGGTCTCTCTCATTCCGGAGGTACGAAATGCCTCGAATTGTTTCCACTGACGTAACGAGATTGCGTCAACCGTTGCGTGTACCTCGATCGCGAGCGCCAAGTCGATGGGAGCGCACGTAGATGACGTGCCCGCCGACTTGGGCCGAAGTTACGTTGTAATCTTCTTACACCGCGGAGAAACGTCGGAACTTGGACGCGTCGGTCGCGTCAATAAACCATTAGCACGAACGTAAACTAAAAGCCATACCTTACGGAAACTGCACGTCGCGTCGCGTCGCGTCGCGTCGCGTCGCGAAAGCAACTGTGCCGTTGAAAGCGCTTTTTCCTCTAATCCCGAATTTCGCCTGTTCGTGAGAGGAAAAATTTGTGTCTCGAGTTCTGAAACTGCTTCGTTATTTAGTGAGTCTTACAATCGGTGAGTAAGATCATATTTTGTTACGAAATATAATTCTTGACGTTATCCCTCAGATGAATCATTAGAGATAAAATTCATTATCTCTATTTTCTTAAAAAAAACTTGAGTTATCTTTTCTGTTGGTCGCCATTGGTCTTGAAAAAAATGTATCAAATTATGACTCAAATTTAATTTAATATTCATTAAGTACGTTTATTTATGTTGAGATATTGTATACTGAGAGAAAAATAGCCTAAATTTAAATAAATATTTATTTGAATACTGTCAACTAAATATTACTTACAATAAATAAATATTTACTTAATAATGAAGTGATTGTTAAATCAAATAAATATATATATTTAAATATTTATATTTAATAAATATTTAGTTGATATTATTTAAATAAATATTTATTGAAATTTGGGATATATATTTTTTCTTAGTATAATTACAGAAATAAATTGATTTAAATTTTGATACATATGGAAGTTAAAAATAACAAAGTGTTATTTAACTTGAGGGATTGGGTTGCTATTACTATTTTGATATCTAACAGTGAATAGATAAAATTAAGTTTTCATATCTGTCCCTTAATTGTTACCGCAAAGCGCGAAATCAAATGATCGAAACGTAAACTTATAACCGATCGACTTCTTTGCAAACTCGGCAATATTAATTTTATATGAAATAAATTGATTTGGGCTTATATATATAGAATTAACGATTTAATATTATAATAGTTGCCTTTGTCCTTAAAATACTTTGTACTCTATACATACATTTCACAAATTTAAGTTCATCAAAGTACTTTACTTTAGTAAAAAGTATAAGTTCACGAGAATACTATATAGAATTTTACGAGGAAAGATTACATCAAAAGCAACATTCTTAAAATGAGTTTAAATTGGCTTTACTATTCGTTCCTTTCATCCGTCATCTTAAGTAGTTCAATAATTAAGTCGTAAATTACTCAATGTTCTCTATAGTCGATTCTAATAAAATTGTTTCAGGAAATCCGGAAGTTAATTGAAGAATCATTTATGGTCGTAATGTTAATCCAGAATTTTTGTTGTCTTTTCGTAAACGTAAAATGATAAACATTTTCAGTTTTCAAAATGTAAAACAGTTGAAACGTCGCTAATGTGAAAGAATTCATAATTCATGATAATCAAAAAGTAAGAAAATTGTATTTATTTGTTTATTTATTTCTCTAAATAGCACTACTTACTACATAAATTCATCTAAAATGATATAAAATATATTGATTAAAAAATATATATATATTGAAAACTTTCAATATCACAAAACAAGCTATTGTAATAAAGCAAAATGACACGAGTCATTTTCAGTTTTATTTCATTTTCGCATTTCCGTACACATGCATGCGTTCAACCGTAACTAACTTGTATATCACGTATCACAGGAGTGAAAGAAATAGAAATTTGCATGTCAATACGATGTGAGGACGTGTAATTATTGCATGAAATCCTTATTAATTCTCGACAAATAACAGAGATATATTTCCAGCTATAATTCAAATATTATGTAAGTACGGTCTAATTATCTTTTTTTCTTTAAGATCTCTCTGAGATTCACATTTTCATCGTGAATTTATTTTTTGCTCTCAAATATAAACTTCAATTATTCGAAGAAAATGATGATAATATGTATTTTATTGCAAAGAATTAATTTTACGGGTTATTTATTAATATTTAATTATTATTTGATCGTTGAAAATACCTATTTACGTATATATTTCTATACATTTGTAAGTATATATATGTACATTCAACTATAAACGTCTATATATTCTACTGCCATTTTCAGAAAATGGTTAAAAGATTGTGATGGACTGGTGTCGCAAAATTGGTTATTTCAGTTGTTTGCCATAGAGAAAATTGAAAAAGTTACGCTCCGAGGCGGTGCAGCCATAAAATCGCACACGTTAAACGGAAATCGTGTGTGTTCACGACAATTCCTTTTCGCGAGTGAACGAATGTTATTTGAGTATTTCTTGCAAATACACACCTATGCACTTATAATTAAAAAATACATAATATACATGTGTGTGTATATATTTGTGTGTGTGTGTGTGTGTGTGTGTGTATTTCATTTTTTAATACGTATGCATATATTTTCACATAGATTTTCCGCCCAACCTTTCGTATCGCGCGCATCTCTGGGAACGATTCCTACATTCGCATTCGCGTAATTAGTAGATAATGCAGATAATGAATGATAATTAAATGGCATTTCGCGTTGCGTCACGGTTAAACGCGGCGATCCTTGTGCGTTGCCTAGTTCTGTGGAGAAGCGATCGTAAAACGGGACGAGAATTAATCGATACATTTCATTGTGGGTTTTCACGAGGGATTTAATGATTTTCTCTCACTTTTCATTTTCTCTCTATTTCTGCTTTTGTGCGAATTATTACTGCAATTCGATCCCTCGGAGCGAAAATGTGATAATTTACGTATAGTTCACAATTCGTAAATTCTGTATAATCGCGATATATCCTCAATTGTGACAATTTTGCAGTTGTAAATTCAAACTGACGTGACTTAGAAACGTCTGATATAATCCGTCGGGTTGGTATTGAACGTACTATTGAATATGATAATTTAATACTATATAGTAATAAGATAATGGTTCTGAATGAACCGGTTTTATGAGAAACATGTATTTTACATAATATGAAAATGCTGAGATATGATTAAATTAGTATTCTATGAAAATTTCGTGTCATTTTTTTGCTAAAGAATTGAACTTGTTAATA